CACCTCCCACCAGAGCAGGTTGCTCAAGGCTTCATCCAACCTGTCTGTGAACACTGCCAGGGCTGGGGCAGCCACAGCCTCCCTGGGCAACTTGTGCCAGTGTCTCACCACCTTCACATTAAAAAAACTTCTTCCTAATATCTAAATTTTCCCTCTTTCAATTTATCCCCATTATTCCTTGTCTAAGCACTGCAGTTCCTAATGAAGAGTCCCTCTCCAGCTTCTCTTTCCCCTTCAGTTCTACAGAACATCATCACAGAGTTACTTCACAAGTAGAGCAGTAAGAAGCTCTCCATGAGCTAACATGTCATTCTAAATGATCAGTGAACACTTAGGACACTGGCACAGAATGACTCACTGATTTCTTACTGAGTGAATCCTATACTACTACAACTGGCCTGGTAGCTTTGAGACCCACACTCACACAGCCTAAGTCTCTGACTGCTTATTTTACTGTCTTCATGTTAGTGAACTGAGCAAAGCCACAATGACCTCGGTAATGCCAAGTGGTATTTGTGGTGCAGTACACTCTGCAGAAGATTTCTACACAACTCTCCATGAACATCTCCATGTAAAGGCTTAGACAGCTAAACTGCTGTAAGTGCATGGGGATGATTTACCTTCAGGGTGATGAGCCGTAAACGGTAATCGTCTGCTTGTATGACTCTGTTAACTGTGATTTCTATTCCTTCGTAGGTGACCTGTTCCTCTGGCCAATATTCTGTGCATTTCTGTGTGCAATATAAAATAATTCTAGTTAAGCAGGTATCAAGGGAGGTTCATTTTCACTCCTCTGAAATTGAGTACAGCACATGCATAGATGAATATGAATAAACTTCACTTCTATAATAAGCACAAGTATTCACTTTCTAAACAGGGACTACATTTCAGCTGATTTTTGCTGCATTCATAATAGCCTCATTGCTTGATTAAAATGCACAAATCAAGTAATTACTAACCAATGCTTTTAAATACACATATCCTTATTTATCTTTATGCAGCTGATGTGCATTTTGAAGGTTCATTACAGAGGCCAGTGGCATGTGCTTGTGTTCTTAGATTAATCCTCTTCTTAAGATAATAATGATTAGTATAATATACACTAGTTACCAATATCTGTGCTGTGTATATACTGATATGGAAACACAAAAGGCAGCTTTTCTATTTTTTGTAAAGGCTCAGTGCTTTCTGAATATAAAATGATCATTTGCATAGGGTTTTGTACAAAATAACATGACTGGGGATGTTTTGGGAATTAGATTATGTACCAAAATCCACTTCAAATTGTCAGTGAGAATCTTTCAAAGCTAAGGAACTAAAAGGAAGCAATAGCTGAGAGAGATAGTGGACTACTACACTGATTTTGCCAAAACCCAGTCAAAGATTCAACCAGCATAACCTCACACTTGGACACACAGAAACTACAGTCCATTTGCAAATCTACTTTGTGGGACCTATCCACCAAAGATGAGCAGGTGAAAATCTGTAAGCACCTCTATCCTGAAAGGAGGACTAAAAACAGACTGTGGTTTTCTGTATGTAGTTTCTCTTTAAACCAGTCAATATGCAAAGTAAGAGACAGACATTTCAGCATGGTACACAAACTAGTTCATGGACAGGGAATGACGTGAACAAGGCAGAGGCTGAGAAAAAGGCTCCCTTGTGATAATGCAAGAAGCAATCTCATTATCACTGGGGAATAGGTATCTGCTATTCAACAGATCTCAGTAAAGACGATGCTTGTAAGATTCTTCCTTTACACAGCCGTACACAATCTTGAAGGAAGCAAGTTGAATCATTTTGTTCTCTCCCACTGAAAATAATTCCGCTTCAGGAGAAAGACTAACAAAAGTACCTTGCAAAGTTACTGAGTCAAAATTTTTGTGTGGGAGAATCAGTGTTGCTCCATCTGCATAGTGCATCAGTTAATAACCCACTGGGAGTGTGGCCCACTGTGTCTCTGTAAAGTTATTTACGCAGGTTATGTTTTTTCGTTCTCTACTCATAAACTGCAGAATCCACTGTAAAAATTGTCAGGAGTGCTAACAGCTATCAATAGCACAGACAGTGCTCTGCTTAAAGGAGTGGAGTAAGATTGCCCACTCACTTCTGTGGGCTGTCTGTCAGTTCAGATTAGAAGTGACAGAGGGCTGAGGTACAGAGCTTTTAATACTCACATTAGCCAAGTTATTGCACTGAGGAGGAACACAAAGCCTCTGTTATGAGCATCATTGCAGAACAAAGGTTTTGGGTTTGAATATATGTACTTCTGAGTCCTCTTATTGATATACTAATATATGTGATACGGAAGAAGGGAATGAATATAGAAGACACTTACATAAAAGGACCCTGCATTTATTGATGAGATTCCTGACACCATTTAATTTTTGACACAAAAGGTATCAGAAAAGACTCAGCAGCTCTGTTGTGATATATAGGCTTCAGCAGGCTCCAGTTATATCAGCACTGCAGTGCACAGCTTCCCCAGACTGATATGAAATATCAATATGAAATACTTGGTCAGTGTGGCTGAGAGGAAATTCAGATGTAAAGGTTATTTTCCATTCAGCTTGCTATGAAAACTACAGCCGAAGAACTTATCACCAGATATGTCATTCAGGAATGGTAGTTCCTCTGCATCATCTTCCTTAAGCCTCAAAGTCCTCAAACACTTCCGGTACACAATGTCATGCCATTTTAACATCTTATTTGCCAGAAACTTCAGTGCTGCCACTCAGATAGATGCAGATGTGAGTTCAGCATGTTAGTGAAAACAAACATACTCTGTTTTGCAACAGCAGTGCCTTGACAGTACATGTCCTATCAGCCAGGTGTAATAACTGACCATTTCTAATTTGCAAAGCATGATAATTCTCTGTCTTGTTCATGACTTTTTTTTTCCCAATGAAGTTCAAGGTTAAATTTATTTATTTTATAAATGTGAAAAGCTCAAGGTTTGTGCACATGCCTGATTACAGGCACTAAGCTTCCAGCTAGCACATAAGCCATTATAACTTTGTGTGTAATGTTGGAGGTGTGTTCATGTTCTTGGGCTTCTAAGTGTCTAAAAACCTCTTCTCCAAAAGAAAATCTCTCACCTAAATTACTAATGGGTTCTCAGGGACAAGTTTTTACAAATACTGCTTCTGCAGCTTAAAAAACACCCTCTGGATATTTCCACTACACCTTGCTGCTAGTGGTGAGGGAGGATCGGAGCCCAACACATGCCCAGACCACTTTCTCACATCTTACACTGCCAATAAAGGCAGATGTAAGCTTGGCTACCTGTCTGTGAGCAGAAACCCAGGCACACAGTTCTTGGAAGGTAAGTAATGAACAGCTGGAGGGCAGCAGTATTTTAAACTGAAAAAACCCTCCCACTTTAGGTGGATTAGCAGAAACACCATGACAGTTTAATTTCTGAAAGTAGGTGGCAAATAGACAATTTCATCACCTTAATTTCAATATTTCATAAGCATTTCCTAGATGCATTCAGGAAAAGGTCTTCCACAGCCAAGTCAGTTCTAGTTGTTAATTTTCATAACTACTATCTTTCAGAAGTCAGGGACAGCCTCAATGAAATGTGGATGTAGAGACACTGCAAGATAAAGCAGCAACAAGTCTACTGATTAAAGAGATTCAACCTTAATAGTTATGGCATACTATTGTTTTTGATTCCTTTAGAGAGAACATCAAAGACTGTCATCTGCAAACAGAGCTGGGTTAGAAGAGGTTTGAGGTCAGATGGGAGAGGGAAATGGCAAAACCAGCAGTAGGCTGAGTCAACAAAGCAGGACTTAGAGTAAACTGAACAGAAAGAGAAGCCCACATCTTCTCTGAGTCTGAAGACTTTAACTCTGGCTCTGATTGCTCAGGCCACTGAACTAACTTCTGTTTGCTGGCTTAGAATCTATGCTGAAAATATCTGCTAGAGTACAGATAAAAATACACACTATATGTAACACCATTACCTCATTCATCTCTTCTATATTGGTAATCATGACAATGATGGGAGAACGCTCCTGCCACACCATTCTCCAGAAGTCAGTGACAGTATTAACTATCGGTCCCTGAGTAGCAATATATACCTTTTCCTCTCCTCCATAGCCCTGTCAACAAAACAGAGACCAGTTTTAACAGGGATGTCCACCACAACCTTGAAAATGCAGTCTTTAAAACAGAGAGCTGTACTGGTTGAAATGGTGACTCAATGGCATCAGTTCCCCTCTCTGTCTCTCTCCTGCACACATGTACATGGAGCAAAGGCTCAGTACAGACTCATGGAATTCCAGCAAACAGTGTCCAACAGCCTTGACAGGCTAGGTCAAGAGCCTTATTCAGGCTGATTATCCGTTGCCTTGGCTAGGCCAGCTGACAAGGCATTTGCATCAAGCACTGCAGAAGAATGTTTCTGTCTGGTCTGAGTCTGTACAGGTACACTTTGAGATCTGGTTTTCAGTTAATGTAAGCAGGAGAGAAGAGCAATCAGATCAGCAAGGAGGCCTTTAAAAGCCAGTGAATGTTGCAATTCTGTTTACATTAACAGCAGCTGATAGAGGCTAGGCAGACACTTTGGACTACTGAGCTCTTACCCTGATGTAGTTGGCATTGATGTAAGAGCTGAGGGGATCGTCCTGATCAGCTGAGGTAAGGCACACTCTGCTGTGAGGATCTGAAAGGTGCAAAGAGGTATGTAATAGTTTAGCAGCTGCTCAGAGGAAAGATAGACACAAGATTATTTTGTACAGCCAGACATTTACATGCATTCCTGGCCATCACAACAGATGTGAGTGGCCCTGGAAAGCTCCCACATTAAAAAGGTACCATAAGAAAAAATAAAAGGATGGTTGGGATAATTTGCCTTCTTCTGACAGTTTCATCCACTCTCTGGAGCCTGCTTAATTGGTCCTGTTGCAGAGTCAGTGTCTCAGCGTGACTCTGGAGAAGCAGTTTTCTGCTCCAGGAAATTATTTCTCAATCTGTTAGGTCAACAGACTCTTTCTGGCTTGAAAGACATTAGAATATTGTTTGCGTAATGACAGCAAACAGCTTTTCTCCCAAACCATAAGCACACATTTCTTGCACCCAGACAAGCCAGATGACAAAAGCTCTTTCCGTTTTGCCTTGCAATGAACCAAACTCCAAGATGTGCTATTAACAAATAGAACAGTTAAAGATAAATTAAAGAATATTAACAGTCTCTTGTACTTTAAGTCTCTTCAGTACTTGAGTCTCCTTTATTGAGGCTGCTTATGAAGCATTATTCTTGTTCTAATAAGATGACAAAAGAAAACATTATTCCACTTGAGAAGTTCAGTCCAACCTTGCAATGAACCAAACTCCAAGATGTGCTATTAACAAATAGAACAGTTAAAGATAAATTAAAGAATATTAACAGTCTCTTGTACTTTAAGTCTCTTCAGTACTTGAGTCTCCTTTATTGAGGCTGCTTATGAAGCATTATTCTTGTTCTAATAAGATGACAAAAGAAAACATTATTCCACTTGAGAAGTTCAGTCCAATCCAAAGAACTGACACAGGTCCACATTCCTCCACTCTCACCAGTACTACACAGTTTGCCATCATTGACAAGAAACATCCTCCTGACAGAGGCCTCAGCAAAGAGCAAAAGTGTGTATCACCAGGATCATATTAAAAACAAACCACCTGACTTATTCATAAAAAAAATTCAGCCTACTAGGACACTATAACAAAATAAAGAGTATGCAAAGATTGTGCTTTACCCAATATCACACCTAAGGACTAAGCAGATAGTAATTTCTACAGTGCTACAAACACAGACTCAGCATGAAATGCTCTCCTCAGACAGACCAGAATCATGTTAGCTATTTCATGACAATAGAATCACAGTCTGCAAAGCAAAGACATTAACAAAGGTACTGCTTTATAGCACAGAAGTACTGAATCCAGCAAGTTCCTCTCTAATACAGTTCCCTCCTGCTCATCTTTGCTCACATCTCTACTGGGAAGATGGAGAGACAAGAGATAAAATCTGCTTTTTATCATTAATTTGGATAGCCTGCAACGTGTCACACCATTAAAATGGTGACACTGGTTACCAGATGGTTATTCAAATGTCACTGGACTGAGTAGCTAAACCCCCTGCATGAAGCCCCTTTGCCTGGGTTTTAGGCAGTCATCCATAGAGTCTGCTGAAGCTTTAGCAACCATTATATGATTTTTCCCTATCAATAACAGCAATAATTCTATGTTGTCCATGTCATAGTAGGTTTTTGGGGAGAAACAAAACTGATTGGAAGAACTCTATCAACAGGTGCCACAGACTTTTAAGTCCTTCTTTTAGCATTTGTCAGCTGTAGTAGAATTTGAGTTACTTTTCACTGTGGACTTTTTTACTGCTGTATTCAGAAATATTAAGAAATTATTCAGAAGATGCTTGTACTTTAAATGAGACTACTTAGCTTGTGTTTTTCTGCTAATGTAGTATTCCTATTTGTTCAGATTGCATGTTAGTGAACAGTTTCAACCTTATTTCATAAAAGAGAGGCCTATTAACACACTGTCTATACAAGAACGTGCACTGTTGTGCAGGAGGCTATTCAGGAAGTAAAAGCTGAATTGCATCCCTTAGAAATATATAAACAGGAATAACTCCTCCTTTAAAAGGAGCCTTAATTAAACATTTCTCCCAGGACAAAACCAGTCCACAGGCCAGGTTCAAGAAAACACCACACCTTTAAAATGCAGTAGTAGTCTGTATCTCCTCAGAAACCAAATGATATGCCACCTATTTTGTTTCCACAGTGTCTTTGATGGCCATTTTGTGTTGATATGATGTCTGGCATTTTAGAAGTGCTTGCTAAACTTACCTGAAATATTTTGCATAACTTAAAATGGCATAAAAGAACTATGTAGAAATTGAAAAAGTCTGTCTAGACATTACGTTTGAAAAAAGGAATAAATGAGATCAATATACAACATGCTCCAATCCTTGCCACCTTTAGAATTCTATAATAAGAACATCCATTTTTATATATTCAAATGGGTTTTCAAGCATCTTAGAGAGAAGTTATCATTTTCCAGGAAATGCCATAGGACTCTTCCTCAGAAGAGGACTGTCTACAAACAAATAAATTCAGAGTTATGAAATATCCAAATCAATCTTCTTAGCTTGGCATTTTCCCCAAATCACTCTTCTGCCAGTAAAAAAAGACACCTTGTAAGCCATTTTACTACCAACAGCAAACCTGGAGAATCTGCAGAAAAAAATTTACTGGAGAAGAAATACAAATGAGCTGAATTACAGACTGTTATTATATATCACTCACTACAATCAACTCCAGGCTTGCCAGTAACTGATCATTATGTTAAGTGATTGCTTACCTTCTAATGAGAACTGCCTAGATTGCTTCTGGCAATACAACTGTTGAGGGAATTTTAGTTACTTTTTAAGTTCAGATTTTCAGTTTGGTAATCAGGCATTTGCTGTTCCCTATGATAATCAGTTATCTGAGTCTGCTGTACTGCAGCTTGTTCAGCAGTTCCTGCCACTGGTGCTTTCTGCAGCTAGAACTTGGCAGAATACTAGCTAGATACTCAAGAAAGCATAGGCTGCATTTAGTCAGCTCAGAAACAAAAGTCTGCAGACAGTCAAAGCCTGAAAAGCACTGGACCTTCCCTCATCTTGTCTCCAGCTTCCTGTCCTACTTTGTGCATTGATAGTTTACTGGGATCCTTGGCTTTGAAGCATAAAGAGAATGTTTAGCTCTCCTTACTACCCTCTTTACCTGCCAGCACCAAGACCTTTGAAATGGAGGTGATGGGATAAGAGTGAACACTCAGCTCT